CAAAGTAAATTTAACCCAATGTTCACTGTACTGGATGTTCCTACACCTGTGCTCAGACGTACTGGGCTAAAAGCTCAGAGAAAAGGGACGCAGATGTTGGGATATTTAACCTTTTGGAGTTATACGCTGCTGCCAAAAGTAGAGAGCCTGTAGTTCGTTCCAGTTAGGAATAAAGGCCGCTGACAAAACCAGATTATTTCTTTGAGGCAGTCTTTACTTCCTGTTTGTTAAGAAAAAAATCAAAACACAACAATCCACACAAAATCCCGTTTTTTGGCAACACTTTTTGCACCAAGTCAGAGAGGTCATTTGTTTGTAGGATGCAGAAGTGAGCATCTTTCAAAATTAAAACCTTGAAAATATTCCCTGGCAATGTACTGGGCTGCTTAGGCTCTCCTGGCACGTCCTTCTCTCTTGCCTCCTTCCTTCCTCTGTGGGGCTCAGCCTCACCCACAGCACCCACCAAAGCCTTCCACCCAGAGGGTTGTGCCCAGTGGCCTCTGTTCTGCTTGGCAGTTTGGAGATGGCTATCGTTTCTGAGAGAAGTCTGTTTCTTTGCCGTGACACCCACCAGTTTCAGCCAACAAAAATGCTGCCCTCCCCCCAAATCAACAGCAGCAGGTTTTGGTCTAAGACACCGCTCCAAGTGACAGAAAACCTGGTCTGCAAAACCCGCGTCCTACTCACCGACTGACCGAACCACCCTGGAAAAGGCACTTTGCCTGCGCACACCTCTGTCTCTCCGCATCGCGTGCTGAGGCAGACAGGTCTTCTCAGTACATGTTTGTACAAAGTCACTGTCAGAAATGATGTACAACAGTCCTTCAAGCAAACAGACATTTGCCTCGGATCATCCTCCTCATTATTTTTACCACAGTGGGATCAAGACGACCCAACCGTACTTGCCATTATAAGTTCATCCCACAAGTTTCTTGTCACTTGATAGGAAATTACAGTACTAAAACTTTTATGCAAACACCAGATTGGCTAGGTCACTTTCTGCTCCAAGAAGCAAAAAATGTAGTGTCAAGAGAAGTACCTCCTTCACTGCAGAGCTCTTTGCAGCGTGCAGGGCCCAATGAGCAGGTTTGGAAGTGCAAGCTCAACTCCAGAACTGGACGACTGCTTTTTCTGCACATGCCCAGCAACCAAATAAAAGCTCTCGACAAAACATCTTTACATGTACCCAAAGGTGATCAAAGTCCAAGTGGATGCACTCAGAGCATCAGTCAGGCAAAAACAAGAGACAAAAGACACCCTCCTCAGTCAATAAATAAATGGGATCTGAAACTGGAAAATGACTAACACTATTTATTCACGCTACCCCAGGCCCCAAACAATCCTCAACCAGACTCCAGTTTATCCCCTTTCCCCCCCGCTTCCTTCCACTGCTTAGCTTGGCCTCTCCTGCCCTACATGATTAATGCCTGACATCCACACACATTTATGCCTTGCAGTGAGTTTATTTTCGTCTTGGCTGTAGCTAGCCCCACAAAGCCACTTCTGTCTGGGTTCAATTTAAATTAAGAAGCAACAGAGCTAATTAAGTCTGCTAGCTGGGATATCAGAAGGAACCTAACCACATGAATACAGAACTCTCCTTCCAGACTCTTTTTCCACGGGGAAAGGCATAGGCACCCTGCTACAATGTGCAGAGCAGATGTCCTCCGAGGCACACATGCTTTAACAAGTCGCCTGTGCTGCCTGAAAGACAGTAGTGTTATGACTAGAATTAAGTTGGGCAATATAAGCCAACCAAACCCATTTTTCTAAAGCCAGCCTGGAAGCCACGCTCATGGAACACAGCTCAGGGGTCTCAGTCATTTTGAGAATTACTTTGTCACCAAATGAAAAATACCTCCCAGCAATCTTTGGTCACCAGAGGATATTAATAGATGTTGATATTCTCATAACAGATGACCTCCTTTGAGTACTCAACTAACCACTGAAAAACATTACTCAGGCAAGCGTAGGCGCCCGGCTAGCAGGCCTGCCCCCAGAGCACAGCGCAGCCCACATGGAACCCGTGAATAAGGAACCTACGTACACCGTGTGGGTTGCAATTCTGGTAGGAAAGTCGAGGCATTTAGCACTTCACCCTTTATTTTCTGTCTGTGCCAATCTGCAAGTAATTTAGGTGTCCTACCCCACCTCACCAAGCTAAAGGAAGAATTATAACCTGTTTTAGCTCCACCGGCAATGGGTAGAGATTTGAGTATTCAAAACAATCATTTGCTATCCTTACCTGTATTAAATGACTCCTCCTTACCCAGACTTGCAAGTAAATAAGAGAAAGATTTCAACTACAGAAGGGACAACAACTAAAAGCTATCAAGGTTCTGATCCTAGTGCCACAATTTGTTTGGTTTCCCCCACCCCCATACTCTGCGAGAGATTTGAGTACTGGCACAACACAACAACTTCACACAAGCAGCAGAAACTGTGGGCTACTATTTTGCCCTTGAAGCTTTCTTTCTCATTCTGGAATTGAAATCTGATTGTTAGATGGAAAACAGAAAACCCTCATGCTTAACCGCAGCTCCAAAGCCTGCAAGTGTTGCTTTGAGACCATTTCCTAGAGTCAGCAGAACTGGCTCCCGACGGGCAGAATACGTTGGTGATAACAGCAGTTCCTACCTGACTCCACTTTTACATCTGTAACGGTAACAGATACGGCCAGGGCATCCTCACGCCCTTCCCGAGTTCAGTGCTAGAAATCGTGCAGCGATGGGTTGGTGTTATGCCTGCACCGACCTGCGGCAGAAGTCAGTGACACGGATCAGGTAGCTTTGCCCAAAGCTAAACACAGGCCCTGAGTGGAAATTCCACACACAGAACGGAAACTTAGTAGTAAAACATTTCAAGAAATTTGACAATATTTTAACAATGAAAAAAAAAAATCCACTTCAGTTGCAGATGTTCAGAAGTCTTCTAAAGCAACAAGAACATTTACAAGTCAAGACTGAAGAAACCAGACTGGCTTGTTTTCAGTGTTTGTGTCTACATTGCCAAATAACTTTGCTCTTCAGCCCCGGGTGCCCCAACTGGTCCTGCATTGCCTGGGACCGTACATCACTGCAAGCATTCTGGGCTCTCTTTCCATGTGAGTCAACTCATTTTTGTAACACAAAACTCTGCTGTGGGGATAACTTGTTATTTCAAGAGGCTCAAACGGAGGCAGTAATTAGACAAAGCTGCTCTATATTGCAATGACACAGAGAAAACGCACAAAGGAGACAAATTCAAGAGGTGATTGCAGGCCTATGCCACATGCCCAGAGAGTGGGCTTCAAAACATGTAACACATCCTTCTCTAAGGGGAAAAAAAAAAAACAAAAACCCAAACCCCGCACTAATACAGGTAGCTCAGGGCCAGGCTAAGGGCTTCGCAGCACAGACACAGCCAGGCCATGACAGAGGGGGGCTAATCCCAAGTAATATGGCCATGAGTCGTTCACACCTTCACACTCGGGAGCCAGGGGCAGATGCTTCTCTCCACAGCTGTACGGCTGAAGTCTACGCTCGGTCTCCAAAGGCTTTGGTGTTACTGTTGTGCAGCAGTGCTTAAGCACTTGGAAAGACCATCCCAGAATATGAATAAAAACACACACAGAAGCACAAAACAGAAGACAGAGCAAGAAGTTGTCTTAATTTGAAAAAGAAATTAAAAAACTAAATAGAACAGGGATGTCATTTCAAAGAGAGCTTCACGCAAGAGCCGCAGCACTTGAGTCTGATGTACAGTAAGCTACAAAAGAATTATTTATAAAGCCCAATGACACAGATTCTTCTATTGCTAAAGCGACAAAGTAAGATAAGCCATTTGCTTTGACAGCTTCACTGTTGGCCTTTGGCATTCAAACTTTTGATGTCTGGAGTTTAAGGTGAAAGATTTTTAGATTCCATTTTCTTTCCAGGACATTGTCACACGAAAAGAAATAACAAAAGTTGAAAAGTTCAGACCTGTCAATTTTCCATTTGTGAAACTGTTGAACATAATTAGCTTGAACAGCACGTTTACCTCCTAACGTGAGCGCAAGACGTTTTCTACAAACTGCAAGACGAGAAGAGCTGAAGTAAGTGCAACTAGCCCCTAATCAAGGCATCACACGTGTGTGCTCACTGTTTCTCACCTACTGCAGACCAAGATGACACCCCGATCTCCACTGCAAACTCCAGTGAAGAAAGCCCACTTTCAGCAATACTTCAGCAGAAACCCTGAACACTTAACCCACAATCTGAAAGTAGAAGGAATCCAGTTAGGTGAATCATGGTGGTATCACCTCTTCAGCAATAAAGATAACAATGTGTGAAGTTTCACCAGAAAAGGGAGCGAGGCTTGCGGGGTGTAGAAAGATGTTATTTATCACCATATTCTTGCCTACAACCACACCACAGAAGTACAGCTATTAACTGTAGATCCAGCACAGGAACAGAGGACTCATTGTCAACAACTTGCTGCCAGCAAGTCAAAACGCTGCAGTCTGTGGTGATCTCCAGCTAATCAGCTTGATTCTGATCACCACCTGGATGGCTTCTCAGAAAGAAAACTCCAGTTTTTGCAGAGATTACATTGGGGAATTAATGCTTCCCACCAATTTGCAAGAAGCCAATACTTTACTACAGCTCGTTATTCTAGCGCAAGTTGCAGATTCTGTTTACCGAAATTTAACCTGCATGGCTAAGCAGGAAATACGAAAGGCGGTTTCTAGGAAGTAAGTGAAGAATATGCTGTGATGCACTGTTGGCACAAGAAACTGCCACAATTCACCACAGGAGGAGGCAGACACTTCAGTTAAAGGTAAGCGGTATCTAGAGACAAGTGATGACATACGCAGAGAAGCTGGACAGTCAAAGAGATTATAGTCAAGGTGTAAATAATTTGCAGTCAGCAAAGCTGAAAAACTTTCTTCAGGAGCCAACTGCACCCCCTCACCAACCTTAACATCTGCTGCTAAGGTCCATTTCAGTGTTTGCAAGATGAACTGAACCAAATGTTACCTTCCAGCCAGTCGTCCGCCTGCTGCGCTCTCCTCTGGGCCATCATCCGGTTTCCCATGTTCCTCCGGCGCCTTGGCATCCCATCTCCCCTCTCTTCAGTGTGGGGCCGAGGCCTGGCCACTGCTGCCGCCGCCGCCACATTTTGCTGGTGTTCCTCATCAGCTGCAAAAAAAATATAATCGATGAGAGATTTGCCATCTCTGTTTGCTGCAGTTGTCCTTCTGCCAGTGAACTTCTGCAATCAGAAGTGCAATACCAGTGCTGGTTTCCAAATGAGAGAATGCCTCCCCACTCTCGTGTCGTTTTTTTCCTGCATGGCAGCAGATACGTGCAAGTTCCTTTCCTACAATTAAGCGGGATCATGCACTGGAACTTTCTTATTTGCGCGCAGTGCTCTGTGCAGTGGAAGTTTTATCCTGACAGCAGTCTCTTTTGCGATAACATATTGATCATCGTAAAGAAAAAGCTATAGCTATGTGCTGCTAATGTTATTTGATCTGACAGAGCTTGCATACTTCAAAAAACCCCCCAAAATCACCATAGCACAAAACAAAGACACCCATCCCTCAAGTGCTCAAAAAACATTCTTATTTAATCTAAACTGATAATCTGTTTTTCCCTTCTGCCAGAAAACAATTCCCTTTACCTGGCAGGACTAGCAGTCTAATAATTTCTGAGTTGCCAAAAGGCAAGGACCCAGAATTATTTTTCTTCCCTTTTAAAGTATTTCAATTTTTTAGTATTTTTTTAATTTTTATTTTGTACTTGGGTAACTTAGAAGTAGATTCACCTGAATGCAAACCTCAGAGCACGTGTGTTTCAGAATGGAATATGTAAATCATTATACCTGAAACAAAACCTGAATAGCAAATAAGGACTACAAATTACAGCCATCATACACACAGGGTAACTTCATTCTGCCACGCTGACTTAAACTGCAAGTCTCCCACCAAACACATGTAGGGGAAGACAGGACACCAAAGGTCACTGCAGCTCTCACTCCCATCCTCTCTGCGTATGCTGCAGTTACTAATTAAGACCTGACAAATGAGGAATATCGTAAGGGAGGAGCAGTTGGGAGAGAGCATGGGAGCCAGCGACTGACGGGTGGGCTCATTTCAGAAGTTCTCCATAGAAAACCCTCTGCCAGGTTTTTCCTTGGGACCTCCATGAGCCTGTTGCTATCAACGATGGTAGTCATGTCGAAACAATCAGATAATGGTAAAATATCGTCAGCCCCGATACCTGCTTTGCATATTCTGTTGATAAGCGTAACTGATATTTGTGTATGTTGTTACTTGCTCAATCCTGCAAAGTATGAACTACTATGCCCTAATTCAGGCAAATATTCAAATGGTCTCATAGAAAGCTGCGTAACTACTCGTTTACTTAAACTTGGGGCACATTTTTTCTGCCTTGCTGCATTATATGGTGTCCCAGCAGGAGCACAAAATGCTCTCCACACTCTGCCAAGTCTCCAGCATCCTCTGATCCAAACAGTGCCTTCCTAAACAAACCACTATTAGCATATCTGTGATCAGAAAATAAGATTCGTTATGACTGCATCTACATGACGATCAAAGGTGTGCTTGCAGCTCATCGCAGTCTATCTCAAGTAGCTTCAAAGCAGCAAACTTTGGTACTGATAACACCACAGCTGCAGCAGCACCGAGCTCAGCACGGACTGCAAAGCAGAGTACTCTGGGGAAGTATTTGGCCAGCAAAGCCCTGAGAAGTTCAGGATTGCTGCAACATTGATGTTAGCAGTCCCCCAGCAAACTCCAGCCCTAACACACGCCGTGACATTTTGAGTTGAGTCACTGTAGTGTCACACTGCTGTCACCCTCCTGTTCTCATCCACTCCTTTTATCTGTGGACCAAAACGGGTCTATAATAAATTACAGAGCGTAGGCTCCAGGGATCTGATCATTTTGCTTCAGGACTGGTCCGGTCTTATGCATAGCATGATAATGCTTATTTTGAATGCTATAGAACACGCTACAGTAAAGCATTATACTGCAAAGGCAGAGCAGCAGATCACTTATTGGGACACTACTAAATGCCAGAGATACTTAGTCTGCAAAAAGACTTTCTGTACAAACGCAATATTTCTCTTAATAATTTCTTGAGATACGCTGCAATTCAAGCCTTAGCATCCTTTCACCTGAAAGCTTCAGCGTCTCTACCTCAGTCACTTCTAAAGGTGGTCCTGCACAGCGCATCAGCTGCGCGGTTCTAGCGCTCGCTCATTCTGGGGCTTTTGGTTCCCGTTGTCCTGCGAAACAGAGACTGTTTTGCATTTTGTGAAAGAGGAATCTATTTATAAGCCACGTATTCATTTCAAACCGAGGTGCTTAACCCTCACAGAGACAAACACGTGAGCCAAGCTATCCTGTTTTCTCAATTTAATTCTCTACAGGAGACACGGTAATTCCTCAGAGTTGACCAGGGTTAACAGGGCTCAGAGAGTAGCAAGAACCCCACCAAACCCGACCCGTACCGTGGTCAAACACGCACGGCAGTTGTCAGATAATACTTTAGTCAGATCTCCAACAGGTTCAGACAAACAACTGAAGACACCTAGACACTATGGACTGTCATCTAGTAGGAACAGAAATGCTTCAATAGAGCTGTTTTCTTTCCCCCTCCCCTATAGCTTCTGTTTGCAAGGCATTCAGCCGGACAGTCATTTGAAAAATGTGAATGTTAGCTTGCATTTCTTCCCATCCTTCATGAGGGGGAGGAGAAAAGAATCATTTACCCTGCCTGTAACACGCTTATACCTGGCTGGTTCTTCAGGCATCAACGATTTGCCTATGTGGCTCAAGACACATCATTTGTTCCAGTATCTAGAAAGTTAGACGTGCTCGCTCTCCCTCTGAACTGGAAGTGTCACAGATCGACTAAAGCTGCGCACGGAGGAGTGCGAGTGCTGGTTTCAGAGAATACAGAGAATACTCTTAACCCTCTCGCTCTTATTCTGGGAACTGGATTGACTGTCAGATTTGAGGTCCAGAATAATCTTCTCTGGGGCCTGGCCCTGAGGTTTTTTTCCACCTCCTCCTGCAGCACAGGGCGTGGTTTGGCCACTGCACTTATCTGAATACATCTCTTCATTTTCCTGTAGCTGCAGAGGTCTCAGACATGAGTGGCACCCCAGGCTAGCCAGGTCACGCAGCGATTAGTCACACAAGGGCTCATTAGACTCGACATAGAGCCATCTGAGTGAAACTTAATGACCAGCATTATTTAGGTGAGACAAGTTGATCCACGAGTTGCTCGATGGTTTGCAGAATGGCAGGCCAGAAGAAATTAATTAGATAAAGCCCTGAAATTAACAGGCAATACAAACAAAAAATTAAACAGATGTCTGGAAAATGGACAAGGGTTTAGTTTGTATTTTAAGCTGTATGTTCTCCAGTCTCCAACTCAGCCTTTCATAAACCAGACTATACCTCTTTTCTGGGGACAGCAGGTTTACTGCCATGCTGAGAGCAGCTCTGCCTCTGCATTTTCAGAAACATCAGCACAGCGCAGAGGTAGCAACGGAGATTATTTCCTCTGACTTGTCAGCCATCGCACAGCAGCAACTGTGAGACGCTGGTTGTACTGTGCCCTTCCCGAAGAGGAAGAGAGCAGAACTCTGCTCTGAAAGCAGAGCTCTTTCCTAAACGGGATGTGAAGCACCACTGTTACATCATTGCAAAGATTACTGTGAAATCTTTCACAGCCCAGGCTTCTTCGGACCTAATTTTACATCCCCCAGGTAGAAACCTGCTCCTTTACACAGCTCTGCAAATTTCCACTCGCTCAGAGCAAAGACATGTTTTCTTGACAAGCAATCCTTCGCCTATCACAGCACATTATCTCCAGTAATATCAGATAAGCAAGTCCATCAGGGTAACACCTGGGCTGGCAAGTTTTAAGCGGTCCAGCAAGACACAGCTACTAGTTCGGGAGCGCCCTCATTCTGCACCAATGCGGCGAGAGCTCCACCTGCTGCACCCTCACAAGTTAGCGGTACTTCCCACCACGCCCGCAGCATCCAGCACCTTCTACCTTCCTGCTAACCTAACCTGTGAAGTTCAACGAGAAAGTGATTCAAAATGCAGCAGGTGGAAGTACGCTTGGCTTCCCCGAGGAGGTGCCTTTGCCCAGGACAGCTTATCACATTAGGCCTTGTTCACAAATAGATACGCCAACCATGCATAAAAGCCAGCAATGCTATGGGTTGGTTTTTTTTTCTGTTCTCAGCAGAACAAGCCCAGGCATGATCTTGCTGGAAACACCGTGCTCCAAATGACCTTTCGAAGGAAATACGAAGTTACAGGATTTACCTCTTGTGATCCTTAGCTCCCTTCATTAGCTAAAGCAGTCAAGTCTTGAACATTTTTAAAAGGGCAACTCCCCAAGAGGGAGCATAAAGAGAAGCTGCTGCCCCTATCCCTAGACATTAAAAAGGTGAGAGCTACCAACCAGTTCTCTAGGTCAAGAGCCTCTGGTTTCAAATCCTTTCCGTGAGACAGCACAGATCTACTAGCAGAACTGTAGCAGCTTCCATTTTCCACATAAGAAAAAGGAACACGAAAGCAAATTCCTATTTAAGACCAAATTTTGCAGATATTAAATACACCACAGCCTCAATGATCATGACAAATAATTTCTGTTGTGTAAGGAGGACAACGCCATCCCCACAATCTGAAATTCTGTAAAGGACTTGATAATGACAGAAATCACTATATGAAGGTAGAAATCACCTTAAAACCCCAATATAAAAAGCAAGACCAATGTGGAAGTGTCAAAAAGATGCCACTGAAAAAGATGCTTCAAAATGATTAAATTATCCTGAACGTAAACTGACTGTAACCAAGCTGCTCAAAACCAGTATTGAAGCTTTTTGAGAATTCAGACCATTTAAAATGAATGTTTGAGCTTCAAGTTAGTTAGAACTTTGTACGCTTAGAAAGAAAAGAAAAAGAAATCCTCCCAAGCCCCACAGCCCCTAAGTCATGACACAAGTCAAGTTCAGCAAATTATGTATTTTCAGCAGTTTCATTTCTCTGGACATGTATCACTCACTTTTACCAAAAGCTCAGCTCTAACTAACTAGAAATCTGATGAAATTTCATCAGTTTCCAAGCTGTTGAGAAAGAAAGATTTAGACCAGGTCTATACAAGAAAAGGTGTGAGAGAAATGTGTTGGAAAATTTAATTATTATCAGCAAAAACTGCTTT